GCTGATTTTTTGATTTATCGTAGAGATGAGGTCTCACTGCCCAGGTGGGTCTCGAACCCACGGGCTCAGGCAATTCACTCACCTCAGGCTCCCAAAGGCACGGGGTTATAGGCTGAGCCACCGAGCCCGGCTTGCAATATTATTATTAATCATACTATATTTCACTGGATTCCAGAGAAATCTGAAAACACCACTTTTTCAATATTTCCTAAAGACACTTATTAATGTCAAGGATAAAATAATAATTCTATAAGTATTTATTTAAAAACAATTAAAAAAAAAAAAACTAAAAAAAAAAAAAAGACTAATCAAACTTGCCTCAGTCGGGTCTACTATGCAAAATTAGGTTTTTAAAAATAGTGACAGACATTTACGAGATTATGATAAAGAATATTCTAATGGAGGCTTTCCTGTCATTGTGAGGGCCACAGAAAGACATGAAGGTGGCCCCTGTCCACTCTTCCTGAAAAACCACTGAAGTATTCTCCAGCCCCAGAAGGTAAACCTAAGAAAAATGTTCAAGAACGGGAAGTCATGCTGAAAGAGGACCAGTTGAGCTCTGAAAACATTTTTTATAGATTGAATTCAAATAAAACGCTGCAAATACAGGCAAAACCCAACACATTCAAAATAGTCATCAAAAAATACCCTAACAGTCTAGTAGTTTAAAATGTATCAACTTAGTTAAAAATGCAAAGAGCTACAGCAAAAGAAAGTAACAGTATACTCTTTCTGAAGTTTAATAGATGTCATCAGATAGTGCTTTATATTTGTCAATGATAACCAAATAAAAATATGTCCCACAATACTTTTTTGTAAGTTTAAAATCAGGCTTTTATTCTTATAGATTTAAGAGGAAAAGAGAGGAGAACAAAAAGGATTCATTAAGTAAGATACCAAATACACAAAGAAGCAAGAAAAATAGAAAACATAAAATATAATAACAAAAGAACAAATTTATTCTTCTTATAAATATATGAATGGATTAAACTCTTCCATTAAAAGACAAGGACTCTTGGGCTGTCTCAAAAATTAAAAGAAAAAAAAAGTTCAACTAATAAGCTGTCTTCAAGAGAACTCCTGAAATAAGTTGGCTTAGAAATAAAAAATTTTAAAAAATTAATGAGTACAGATATTCCATACAAAAAGAAAACTGTGTTCACAACTTTAATATAAGAAGACAAAATTAGCCGGGCTCCGTGGCTCAGCCTATAATCCCGTGCTTTGGGAGGCTGAGGTGAGTGGATTGCCTGAGCCCGCGGGTTCGAGACCCGCCTGGGCAACTTGGTGAGACCTCATCTCTACAATAAATAAAAAATGAGCCGGGCTTGATAGCACACGCCTGTAGTTCCAGCTCCTTGGAAGGCTGAGGCGGAAGGATCGCCGGAGCCCAGCAGGTCGAGGCTGTGGTGGCCGGAAGTAGCCACCGTACTCCAGTCTGGGCGACAGAGTGAGACTCCAACTCAAAAAAATAAAAAGACAAAATTAAATTCAATTATAAAACAATTAATTGTTAATTAATTGTTAAAGGGTTTAATTTTTAATGAATAACGCACTCCACAGCACAGTCATAAATATTTTATGTAAAATCATATAACCCAAAATTAACATAACAAAATTTGTTGAAATTACAAGTAGAAATTGATAGTAACTAAAATTTGCTTTAAAATTTTACATACCCCCCTCCCAGTTTTTGACTTATGAGATATGGAAAAGAAAACAAGGATATAAAGATAAAAATAATATAACTAATGATATTATAATTGCTACAGAGAATGCACGCATTTAAAGTGTCCATGCACTTGTATACCTAATCCTGAATTATACCCATCTTTAAAATTAAAAAAAAATATTTAATTAAAAAAAAAATAAAGTGTTCATGGAACCTTTCCAAATCCTGATCACATACAACACCAGAAGAAAACATCAACATTTAACAAATTACAGAAAGAATTTAAATTA